TCTTTGAGAACTTTGACTAGCCTTGCTCTTTGTTTCCCTTAGTGCTGAGCTCGGGACCTCACTCCGTAAACAACATGCAATGGCTCTCAGTATGGACCCTATAGGTTCATCAACACAATTGCTTCAAATCCATCATTGCCAAAACTACTTTCCTTCCATCTCGCACTTGTCTATCTTCCTCTGCTTTGGGAAATGCTAAAGGAGTAGATCACATGACTAGATAGCAGGAATGATTGGCATGACAAAGATGAGCTTGTACACCTAGACCCATGAATGTACCTGTCACTTCCCATGGTTACTGATTTATTTAATATTAGACATGCAGTGATATATATACATGGGATATTTTATTCACAACACTCTAAAGTACCCCTATATCTATCTTACAGATACTCAAGTCACCATTGCTTAATCCTCTGTTCAAGGCCACATAAATAAGTAAAATCTCTGGATTAGAATACAGTCTTGAGCTATCCAGATCTATGGCCATCACTGACATTTTAACTGATAAAGGGGCAGATCATAGGCATAACTCCTATGAGAGTCATTGTGGAATGTTGAATAGATGGGAATTTCATATACCACTCAGTCTTGATTTGGAACAATAATCTCTTATGTTTTAACTAAGAGTGGTGCTTCCCCTAAGGGTTTGGAAAATAAAACCAATTGAATTCCATCATTGTTCCTCTTTGGTTATGGATGGATGAGAAGGAAGCACAAAAAGTTGATCTATTAGCCGGGTAATAGCTATTAAATAGTTGATTTAATAGCTGGGTGGCACATGCCTTTAATCCCAGCACTTGGGAGGCAGAGGCAAGCCAATCTCTCTGAGTTCGAGGCCAGCCTGGTCTACATAGTGAGTTCCAAGACAGCCGGGGCTACACAGAGAGACCTTATCTTGCAAAACAAAACAAAATAAAACAAAACAAAGAAAAAAAAGAGCTGATTAATGACTCTGAAAGGGATTACTAGAAAGTGTCTTCAGTGTTTGAGTATCTCTGTGAGTTAGTGAACACACATTTATTTATGGCCTCTGTGGAGATGAACGTAAAACAGGCAGGTCTGTCATCTCACCTGCAGTCAGCGGGTAAAATAAGCAAACCACAAAGCAGGATATGAAATAAACAATTACGTTAGGCACAATCCATAACTCGCTAGCTGAGGACCAGCACCCAGAGAAGGGCACCATCAGTGTCAGAGGTAGGGGGCCTTTGGGAGGTTGTAGGGATCAAGCTAAATCTCTAATGAGTAAATAGGCGAGGATGAGCGAAATGATCCTTTTTCAATACAGGCTTATAAAGGGAGAATCGGTGGGAAACACTTCCTTAGTGCGTGGAGGCTGTGGGTTCTAGTCCTAGGTCCCCAAACAAACAGGATGCTATGAGCTCACTTCCCACTCCACAAGCTAGAATATGAGTCACGAGGACAAACGGACCTAGAAGGTGGGGACACTAACCTGGTCACTTTGCTGGATAGGATGGGAACATGGCTGGAAAACAGAGGCTAAACCCGCGTGGGTCAGCATGGGCAGGTGTGGGTCAGTGGAGGAGCATCTATGTGGCTGTATGTGCATGAGACCTGGGCTTCAGTCTCCAGTTCAGTCACAAACAGAGGCAAGCGGAGACAAAGGGGACCAGTTGGGAGACGGCTGCCACAGCCCATGTGGAAGGGAACCGTTGCACTGGGGCAGTAGCTGCTGGCCAGATGTGAAAGATATTTTAAAGGAAGGACTCATAGGATTTGATGACAGATTGACTGTAGGGGAGAGGAAAATATTGGGGTGGAGGGAAGAGGCTGAGGGGGAGTTTGCCAGCTTTTCCCCTTCCTCCCCAGCATAGTGAGACCGAATTGAAAATATTTTTAAACAGGAAACATATTTTCAGGAATTTTTTTTCCTGCAAAAATACCTTCTTTCACTTTTTTTCTTCCCATGGAGCTAACATAAAGGTGTGTTCATCATATGGACTCATACTTAATTTTACACATGAGCCGCTTTGTCCCAATGCCAATAATGATAAAAATACGAATATTTAGAGCAGCTTATAAAACTGAAATCCCCTTACATTCCCTCTGCACTCTGCACAGTTTTGCATGCAGAAAAAAGGGCCAGATGTCCTGACTGGACCCATAAGGTGGCCTGGTTCACATGGCAAAGAAGGTCAGGGAGATCTGATATACTGCAGAGCTCAGTCCTAGAAATAGTGTTTTGTGGACTGAAAGAGCAGAGAGGTTCCAAATCCCAAACGCTGTTCTCTGAACAGGAAGTTAGGGAAGGAAAAGTGTCGCCCTTGCCACTTGGCTGCACCGTGACAATGGAAATGGCTACAACAATCTGTCTGGTGGTCCTTCAAGTTCCCCAGAAGGAAACAGAATACAGACACCCCTTTTAGTATCTTGATGAAGGTCCCCATTCAACCTGCTGTGCATCCTGTCAAGATCCTGATTAACGCATCTCAGTAATCCCCTCTGCCATAAATATAGTTTGGTAACGTCCATGAACCAAGTTTTCCAGTCCTCTCTCAGAAACGTCACCCTAATTCAAATCTGGATAGAAGGACACAGCCACAGGGCACACAGAACCCCACTCAGCTTCCCGAGAAGGACCCCTGTGTGTTCGAACACTTCCACAGCTGTCAGAGCGCTGACGGGAACTTCATGTGTTGGGAGCACAGTGCTGCCAGGAGAAAACCAAATGTCAAACTGAGGTCTGCAGAAGTTACCACAAATAAGTCTCTCCATGTTTGCCATCTGGAAGGGGTAGATGCAGATTTTGACAAGAAGCTGGGATTGCCCTGTGGGCGCCGTCTTCTGAGTAACTGCTTTCAGCTCACTGAGTTATTTTACACTGCTTTATTAGGGAGACAAAAACACAAGTTTGTGTCTTCAAGATGCAAATTTACTATGTCCCAACACTCAAGGTCTTGTTGGCACGGATGCTTCTTTGGATGGGAGAATGGGCATCTCCCGTATTATCTACACCTTAACCAGGCAACTCTGTGGCCAGTATCCAGCACAGCACAAGGGATATAGGTTCCTGTGGGGCTCCTGTGGGGCTCCTGTGGGGCTTCCATTTGTGAGCAGACCCTTGTCAGTGCCTTTGGAAGAATACTCAACCCGTCAAGACTTTATGCTGTCCTGAAATAATGCTACAATGGTACCAGATGGCCTGGTCCCTTGGCTCCGTACCTGCTTTGTGCTGTCTGATGGGAGAGATCAGTCTTTCCTTCTCTTTTCACTTTTTGAAACCTCGGTTCCTCAGCAAAACCAACACGGAATGAATGGAATTTCAAGCAACTTCAGCTTGTGAACTTAGTCCTATTTCACGTCGGTTATGTAATATCGGGACTCAGATAATGCCCTGATGGAAGAATGGTTTTTTTCACTGACGGCATTCAAACCTTGGCCACAGGACATTCTGAACAACATCACAACACCATACTGCTATATTGTTTTAGTCTTAACTTTTTATTAAAAAAAATGCGTTTTCAAAAGTCTGCTCTATGGTTATAAGAAGGCAACTTGAAGCAGAATGTTCGAGACTTGATGCCACTGAGCAATCAAAGCAGAGTCTCAGGCATTCAACCTATGATTCTGCCTACTACACAGCTCCTACTTTGGAACAGTCCAGACGCAGTGCTGTGTACAGAAGCCTCTCACCTGCAGAGGGTAAGGAGCTCCCTGTAGGAGCAGGTTCCCCAGAGCTCAGGTACACAGTTCCTCAGAAAGAAGTCAGCCACTTAGTTCAGTAAAAGTAACCCAGACTCACCCATCTTGCTCAAGTACTTGAAAAATAAAAATACCATTTTCATCCCTCGAAAAATAAGGCCACAATTTGAAAGGCCCTTCTTAAATGCCAGAAGACGCAGAGTCTAATGTCCCTTGTTATATATTCCATTCAATTAAATCCTGGTGGGTGATTTTGGCAGAGCAGTTAGCCACACATCAGATGACAGCTCACTTACTGTTGCTTGGCACCCGGATGACCATTAATTTCCAATGACTAATTTGTAATTAAAACCTTCTTGTTTATTTGTTTATAACCCAGGCTGAACATCTATTTACATTTAATTAACACCGTTTAAAGCCTATAAATGCAGTGGCTTTAATGATCCATCCCAGACTCGCTACTTGAGTGTCCCCCTGACTTGTAAAACTCACACACAGATCTGCAAGTGAATTACCTCCATCTGCTCTCGCTGCAGCTGCAACCGGGCTATGTTAAAGAGCGATTTCCTTTTACCTCCCCTTTTAGGCTTTTCTTCCAGCTCTAAGCATTTTTGTTTCAGAGCCGACCTGAACGCTGCGCTGAGGGTAGCCAGCTCCCCCCCCCCCCCGCCCCCAAGGAGTTCCCAGACTTTAGTCAGCCTCCAAAAATGATTAAAAAACCCCCCTTGCTCCATCACAAATCGACCCAATCTACCTTGCACAAATCCTTAACAAAGCGTTTCTGACTCTGCCAGCAAGCCAATCATAGAGCCTTTAAAAGAATCTTTACGTACTGAGTAGGAGAACGCAATAGCTTCAAAGTGAACTCTTAACAGTGAGAGCTAAAGCTATCGCTTTCTTGGCCTTGTCCATCCTTGGCAGCAATTTGCACCTACTGTTCCGCGCCTGTACCGGGGATCTCATGGGTACCCGGGCTCCCAAAGACAGTTTCTCCGCTACACCTTCAAAAGCCACGCTCGAGAAGCGTTAGCGCTACAAAGACAGCCAAGCTATGTGCACTGTTATCTGTCAGCCGTACAATAGCAGCATTGATGGAACGGCGAGCACCGGCTTTGACAAGTGTGCTGGGCTAGCATTACATTCCAAACTACGGCGGCGAGAGAGAAGGAAAGAGGGAGAGGGGAGAGGAAAAAAGAGAGAAGGAGAGAGGGAGAAAGAGAGAGGGAGGAAGGGAGGCAGGGAGGGAGGAAGGGAGGGAGGGAGGGAGGGAGAGAGAGAGAGAGAGAGAGAGAGAGAGAGAGAGATTTGTTTTGTTTTAGTGTCTTTTACTTTACCTGGAAATACCGCTTTTCTTGTGCCCGCTGCGAATGAATTTCTCCTCTTCTTCCCCAAAGCCAAGTCCTTGAATGTGCCTGCAACTCTCACTTGGAGAAGACCACACAGCTCCAGCAGGGCAGCCTTCCTTCTCTTAATCCCCACTCGAATGTGATGACACACACTAACCCCAACCATCTGTTGAAACACGTCCTCAAGCCCTCAGCAGAGAGCTGTGTCAAGACAGGCTGCCCAATCCAATTGCTGGGGCTGAGCGTCTCTTACGGATTGGAGGCTGAGGGCTGGGCAGGGACGGGAGGTCTGAGAACTCCCCAGTCAAGTAACCTGAGATTTTCGGAGAGAAAGGACTGCCACAAAAAGGAGGAGTGGGAGGTGCGGTAGGGAAGGTAGAGCGAATGAATTATTCTGGTGGCCAGTTGTGCGTTACTTTTCACAAGTCTCTGTGCTCCTGGGGGGATGGGGGTGGGGTGGAGGGGACTCTCGGTGGGACGCCCAGGAACACTAAAAATCTTTTACAGCCCAGCTATTGAGGACAATCTCCTCAGCAAGGCCCCCCCCCCCCATCACCCCACGGGAGATAAAAGATTCGTCTTGTCATGCTGATAAAGTGCTGAATGTGGGAGTAGTTTGCACTGAAATGTGACATCTACATTTTGAGATCTAAACTCCTACCTCCTTTTGATTCTGGGGCGGCTGCCTCCAACATTCCTGGAAGGGCTTGGGGAGGGGGAGCCGGGCGGGGGGGGGGGGGGGGGGGGGGGCGGTACCGCGGCTTTGAGCCGAAACTTCTTTCTCACTGTGCTCTTCAAGTGTCTTCCAGGCTAAACCAGAGACGGTCACTGAAAGTCATCTCGTTCCTACTTCTGTAGAAACAGCACACGCTTTCCTAGATAAAGGTGGCTTTTAATCACTTCCTACATCCACAGACACCTCGAGATTGCAGCTCTTGGTGCTTAGAAGCCTACACTCCGCCAGTGATTATTTTTATTGGTGTTTAGTTAACTGCGCTTATAACATCCACGTAGCTCAAGCACCTCACTAACAATTTTGCTTTAAAATGTTTTCAGTTTGGGATTGTTTAAATACATCCTTTTTAGTTTTAGTTTAGTTTTTTTTTAAAAAGCTGGAAAGAACTGTTTTTATAAAAATAATTGCATTGATAGCCTGAGTCAGAAGAGGATTATAAAAGGATATTGAGAAATAAATTCATTACTTAAAAACATCTTATCCTTTCAAAAATTCCATCAGACATCCAAGGAATTTGGTTAATCTTAAAGAGTAAAGAGGAATGTTAAATACCATCTACTTCCTAAGGGTGCCTGTTGGAAGCTAACATTTAAATATTACACCTTTTGAGGTTTTAAGGATGATCACTACGGGAGTGAGAGAGGGGTTTAAAACTTTCCCAAACCCTTAAAATCCAGATTAAAAATAGGCAGCTAATACTTGGCACAGCAAAGTCATAAAAAGCAGCATTGATCTGATTGGCTTTTTGTGAGAGGGATGTTATACGTTATCAGCAATTGCTCCTGGTCCAAGTTTCGGAAGCATTGAGAAGGTAAGTGTTATTGTCTCAGAGTGATGTTTTCCCCATTGGGCTGCTGGGGGATGGGGGTGGGGGATGGGGTTGGGAGGTGGTGAGGTGGAAGGGGAGGGGGAAGGGAGGTGGGAGTCCTGATTTCATTTGCTTATTATCTTCCCAGAAGTGATGATAAGGTTTCTGCTTGACAATATATCACAAATTCACTCAACTACTGCCTCCCACGCACCCACCTCCAGATACATAACCAACAGAGATATTGTCAACAATGCAATTGGCAGGACAGGCCTAACCCTTCCCTGGGGCACCATAAAATTTTAATAGTGCCAATTACTGCAGGGCAATTTTATTCCCTCTTGCCTTGGGAGGAGGGGGTAATAGTTAATCCAGCCAGACCTCAGTCTGGAACTCTGGATTGCCTCAACTGAGTGAGGTGGAAGACCCCGGAGACATTATTAAGGCAGTTTGCAATCTCTTAAACTGTAAATTGAGTTACAAAAGTAAAACTTAAGAAACTGTAAAGGTGTTAAATCAATATGTTTCATCCACGCTGAGCTTGTAACCTCCTTCTAGGAGACATTGCCCAAGAGGCCCTGTCCTTGACTTACATTATTGTTTGAAAGGATTTTTTAGTGCGAACATTTCATTCTCCTCTCCTCTGTAGACCTTTTCATTAAATCTCAGTCATTACTTCTCTTTTATTGATCATTTCAGCTATCCGTCCTGTTTAATACTTGTTTTAAATAAAGTACAAGGGTGTCATAGATCCCGGCCCTTGCTTGCTTTGCCTTCTGCACCGTGGCTGGGTGGGTAAGTGTGCTACCCTTCAGGTGGACTGTAAAACAAGTCCACAAAGACACATTTCTCTGAAATACTTTTGTTACGGAAAACCAACACAAACCCAGACCCGAAGCTGGTTCTGCAGTCTGTCCCAGCTCCCACCCTCCCTGAAGCCTGCTTCCCTGCATGGTGGAGTGTCAATTTGAGAAGTTAAGAATTTTCCATGACTTCCCCTTGCTTTCTCCTTGCCATCTGCAAACAGTTTATTTTTTTAAGGGGGGGGGGAGTGAAATTGATTCTGTCTTGAAAGATCTAAACTTAAAATACATTGATTTTCAAAGGTGATATCCAGCATTTTAAAGTCAGCAGGAGCAGAGTGAAGCTCTGTTCAGAATGAATGGCTTCATCCTAGAAACTGAGGCAGGACACTCCTAAAATGAAAGATTAATAGGTAACGGTGATATTGAAGAGCGGCCCCTCCTATTCTGTTCCCACAGTTAAAACGTCCCTTTACTTATTAGCTCCAATTAGTTCCCATGGTAACCGACCAGCCCTTGTAAACCCGGGCACTCTGAGCGTCTCTCATCTTTGTCTAGACTGGGCTCTCCACCCTTCCCTCTCCTCCGCAGATGGTTTAGCTGAGTCTGTGTCTATAGCCGTATCTTTCGCGCACACACAACTGGCACAGGAGTGCCCACTCTCACTTTTTTTTGCTAGCACAATGGTGGCCAAGAGAGAAAGGAGGTAGTGTTTAATCCCGCAGCTCCAGCGAAAGCATCTGCCGCTGCGTTACTGTTCGCCTCTTTTGGTTATTGTTTCTTCCAGTCTGGTTCTATTATCAGCTGTTGGCTGCTCATAATTTCTTTTCAGGGAAACCAATACAGTCTAATAAAAACCTCATTAAACTGAAACACCTATCAGCCCCAGAGAAAGCCCTAAACTACCTTCTTTGTTGAGAGAACTATTACGGTGATAAAGAAAAACCACTTGTTTGCGGGCTTGAGAAAAAGAGAACAAAGCCACCATCAAGGCTTACCAAGGGGGAGGGCCGCGAGGCAGCTGATATGAAGACAGTGTCCCAAAGCCTCGAGCGTCTCTTCCCCTAATGGTGCCAGAGGGCCAAGGAAACCAGCCCAGTAATCAAGGAGGTTGAGAGAGCTGGCCTAGGTGCGGAAGAGGATGACGGTACCAACTGCATAGCATCTCCGTTCTGAGCCACAGGGCTACAGCTGGAGTCTGAAAAATCGGGTGCTGTGACCAGGAAGGAATCAGACAGGGACAGAGAAAAGACCAAAATACTTTTGGTTATGACAGTTCAGCATGCCAGGGATAGTCCTAATGTATGCTTCCTTGACTTCTTTGGACCCAGCTCAGTTTTTAAAAAACCTTAACTTCATTTTAAGAGGACTGGAGAGATAGCTCAGCAGTTAAGAGCACTGGCTGCTCTTGCAGAAGGCCTCCATTCAATTCCCTTCATCTCCCAAGTGGTATCCAACTACCTGAAATCTCAATTTCAGGGGATCTGATGCCCTCTACTGGCCTCCACTGGCACCAGGCACACATGTGGTAGGTACACTTACATACACACAGGCAAATGACAGACATAAAATAAAAATTAATAAATCTTAAAAAAAAACAAAACACAGTATTTTATTTATGATTTATATGTGTGTGCACCTGAAAGTGTGACGGTCAGAGGGCAACTTTATGGATAGACTTTGCCCTTCTACTTTTGGGGATCAGACTCAGGTCATCAGTATATGTAGTAAGTGCCTTGCGTGCTCTTGCTAGCTCCACACTCAATTTTAATCCACTACTTTTCCAAGGTGAACAGCCCCTTCGAAATGTAGAGAAGCTGCTTAGCAGCCAGGCTTTTGTATTGGCCATCGTTAATATTTGTAATGATCAGAATAGAAGCACTGTAATTCCTCGTACCCCATCACCTCTGCTACCACCGTTTTTCTGACACTGGTTTTGACATGAAAGAATGATTGGGATTGTGGGTTGGGGAGATGCCTTAGTGGTCAGGTACTTGGTATGCAATCGTGAGAACCTGGTGTGGTGGTTTGAATGAAATGGCTCCCATATGTGTTTGAACACTTGGTCCCCATTTGATGGAACTGTTTGGGAAGGACTAGGAGGTGTGGCCTTGTTGGAGGGGGTGTGTCAGGAGGGGAGGTCTTTGAGGTTTCAAAGGACTTGTGCCATTCTTAGTGTGTGTGTATGTGTGTGTGTCTTCCTCCTACTAGGGGATCAAGATAAAAGCTCTCAGTTGTTCCTAACATGTCTTTGCTCTGCTGTCATGGTTGCAACTCTCTGAAATCCTAAGCCACAAATTAAACTCATCTTTTTATAGTTACCTTGTCATCTTTTTTTTTGAAAGTTTTTATAAGCCATCTTTTTATAAATTGTCATGGTATTTTATCATAGTAAGAGAAGAGTAACTAAGACCCTTGGGTTTGCCCCCCCAGAGCCCACATAAAAATAGCTGGACCCAGTAGCAAACACTTGCCATCCCAATGCTGGGGAGAGACTGCAGGGCCATCCTTGGAACTCATTGATCAGTAAGTCTAGCAAAATTGGTGAACTCCTGTTGTAGAATGAAGCCTATCTGAAAAAGTAAGGTGGAAAACACCTGGGGAAGATCCCAGCGTCAATCTCTGGCCTCCACCAGCACAGGCACACACCTGTATAATCTGGAATAAAACACCTCTAAATCTGATGCAGTCGGTCTCTTCTCTCTTTCTCTTCTACCCCTCTCCCTACTTCTTATAGCTCTGGGCATCAAATCCAGGCCTCAGCATTCTTGGAAAGTATTATCCCTGAGATAAACCCCCAAACATTACATCTGGGGACTTGGAAAAAAATAAATATGAATTGGAGGCTAGCCTGGGTTACATA